ACTTTCACAGTCTATAGAAGACAGATGAGTCTCAAACCCATGAAAGTTTCAATAAAATCGGCCCAACGGCTGATTTTTACCGACTTGGTAAAGTTCCAAAAATTCACTGCGTTTTCCATGCCTACCATAGAGAAAGTAAATTATTTTACTTACTCTATGATGCCTACTACAAGGAAGATATCGTCGGTTAAAAGCGTGAGGCTCAAAAACCGCTCAAAATAGGCCAACAATTTCGATTATTTCGGATGTAAAGCTTCCAGAGTGGTTTTCAATGATGAGCTTGTTGCTTTATTCGCTTCTTTAAGATGGAACTTGATGTTTTGTGCAGTTTTCAATCAAAAATCAAAAGTTTACATGCGCGTTTTTTGCGCTCAATGGATTCGTTTCGACCATGGAGAAGCTCCTCCATGTACAATTATAAAGTGCTTGAGTCTAGTGAGGAAAATATCGTGGGTTGAAGATCGGGGCGGCTCAAAATGGGCCTTAAATATCGATTATTACGAATCTTCTTCAAAATAGGATTTTTGTTTTCTTCGATAGATTGTGAAAAACGTAATTCTTCGAGTGCTTTCAATTTTTCATCTTTACTCTTACGAGTTTTGATATCTTTAGATAAGTATCGAGGACAATTTGGAAAAATTGACGGTATTGCATCGCGGCTTTAAATGAGGCTTTTTTAGAATTAATTGAAAGTATTTCACCTGTTCGGGAATCTTGGGTTGAGGTGATCTAAACTGTGCAACCTGTTGAGAAATTAATTAAATTAAATGAAGTTCACACACTTTAGAACTATTCGTCGGTGAAATTTTTGCGCGGAACCGCTGTCAACCATTGATGTTTGAGGTTAACCGCTTCCGGAAAGCCAAAAACATGCACTTTGGGGCCGTTTGGGTAATTTGCGCGACACCCCCGAACACAACACATATAAGGCATAATTTGTTTAAGTGAAATTCACTAGAAAAACACAAAAAAGAGGTAAACTTCTTCGGATCCGAAAAATACAAACAACTTCCGGCGTATCTGAAACTCTACCAGTGTTGCCGTAAGTTTTTGTCGATTGCATTGTCCAAAGACTAGTATATTTCTTTAAGCGCTAATTAACGTTTACCCCAATCAGGATGGGCCCTGCTATATGCGTATTTTTTGGAAAACTGTCGGCAATCAATTATAAAACGTTCACCTAATTGTAATGTATTTTTCGTCCAACTTTTGAATAAACGCCCCAGAAAATTAGCACTGACCGGCAACCCCGCGAAGTACCTGCCATGTGGTATATCGTCGGTACAGAAGACCAGATAAGTTACTAACGAAACCTCGCTCCTCAATGATCATAACCTGATTTGGTCTACAGCTCAATGTATTCCTTACGGGAGAAATCCATGATATGACGTCATGAGTCTTTGAGATTTTAGCACTGAGGCCGGTATTACCTTCACCCCTTATGAAATTTGCGATAAAAAATCAAAATTTCACATGCCCGTTTTTGGCAATTATAATTAATTATATTTTGCAATTATAAAGTGTTTGAGTCCATAATAAGGAAAATATCGTGGGTTGAACATTGTGGGCCAAAAATGTCGATTATTTTCAATCTAAACCTTCCAGGGTGTTTTTCTATAAGTCTGTTGCTTTCCTCGGTTCTTTGAGATAAAGATTGTGTAGGATTCGAGGCGTTTTGAGCAACATTTTGTGCAAAAATCGACCTCCACCCGTTGTGCAATTTTCGATCAAAAATTCACACAATTTCAAATGTACCAGTTTAGCGCGCATTTAGATCCTGCGGACTCTCATCGCCCACACCAGAACGCATTGATCAATAAATTAGCGATTTGCAGTTATTTCCGCATTTACATCACAGGAGCAGGAGTGATTGATGCGATTTCAACCAGTATTTCAATTTCCCTAAAGATGAGATTTGGTGTGGATGTGGCATCCACACACAGACCACATTTATTGCCATCATAAACAAACCAGTTAGCTAAACAAACAGCCACGTAAATGCGGTAATTGCCTGATAATAATCACGCCAATTACATAATTATTGGGTAAAAATGCGGTCTTACCCAGCTGGAGTAAGAGAACATCCAAAACGACCTTCTTTAGGGGAACCACGACGACTTCATCTGCCATTGGGGGGAAAATGTGTGAATGAGTTTTGCGCACAAAAAATCTCTAAATCATTGTTCGTTTTTCACAGCGAAACCTGCTCAAATTGAACACGTAAAATGTTTCGACTGGCGCGATATCGAGCGGCAAACGAAATCGGAAGACGAGTGGAATACGCACGTTCGCTCGAACGAAACAGACTGAAAATCGTGCGCCAGTTGTTTCGATTTTATATTATCTTCTTGGTCGTGCTGCAGCGTGTTTTCACCTGAGTCATTCAGACTGGGATTAATGGGAATCTCCCTCCAGTTGTATGGAAAACTGGAGAAAAATTCACTATTTTCATGATACTGCGGGATTGAAAATTGCTCAGTTGCTCGGAAAGTAGGGATTTTGAGCAAAAACTGAGATAATCGCAAAAAACTAGTTAATAAATTTGGCAACAATGTGTTTGAGTGTTGTAGCAAAGTTTTCTAATATTGATGAAAAGGTGGCCGGCAAATCAAGCAAACCGGTTCACCTCCCAAACGAATCGCCGAATATTTTCAAACAGTTGGCATATTTTGAAAGCAGAACACGTACAGCGTGATTGAAAAAAATTGACGCATAAAAACAGCGTTTTAAACAAAGAGTGAAGGTGTTTAGATCTAGAAATCACCACAACATGCAAAAAAGGATTAAACATTGACTCTGATCGTAAATTTGCATTGATCGGAGCAAAGAACTAATTGCCATATTGTGTTGGGGCCACTGTGTAATATTAGGCTGAACGATGCAAATTTGCAGATTATTGACTTTGAGCAAAGAAAAGGGCGGCGGACTAAGTGGAATCAAAAATTCCTACAAACTGAACATTAATGTATGGTAATATATTTATATGAAAGATTAAATACGTTTATACTATCTATCTATTGCATATTTGTCAAATATTTAATAAACAAATACAGCTGAAATTCAAATTATTCATGAATCTCTAAAATGCAATCCTATCGGTTGTGACGTCACTGGTCATATAAATGGCGGATTGTTTACGTTCTGTGCATAGTGATTATTTGTGTGGTTGTGTTTCATTAATTATTTTGTGGATTTAAATAATTTACAGTTTGTCTTAAACTAAAAATGGCTTCAGAAGGATTCCTTAAAACGTCAACAAACAATTTTGCATGTGTACATATTTTTATGGTTACCAAATTTTTAAAAAACGACGAACGCTTTAATTTAGCCAAATTTGAGGGTGTCAAAGCAGCAACGTAAGTAAAAACCCGCAAATTAATTGTTAATTACTCTCTCCTTAAGATACTAATCTGTCTGTATTGGTTTAAATCAGGTAAATAATATATAGAATTTCACTTATTCAACTTAACCTAATCTATACATATAGCTGCTTCAAACGTAAAATTAACTCTTAAATTTGTATTTTGGGCATCACGAGAACAATATGATGATATCGGATATGTCGAATTAAAACGCGAAGGTTCTTTGTGCTCTGTACAAGGTAGAATTTGCCCAGAGCACAGAGTACGATCGAAGGCATATTCTGTCTGCCTCATCATTAGCTTTTTGTTCGAACTTTCATTAAAATGATCCTCGCAACAAAAAAACATTGACTTTGATTTAGGAACATCACGTCTAGCTGCTTTGAACCATAAAACTTTACGTGCATAATCATGGGGAACGGTTAAACGAGTTTGTTTGGAGCACTTATTGAGATATTCTTGCATTTTGGCACAAAACACCACTTATTTTGTGATCCATACATGTCACTATTTTCCATTATGCAAGATAATAATAATCAATAAAATAATGATAATCACAATAA